TACTGCGTAGTTTGGTCTGCATGTTAGTGCAGAAAAAGTATAAGGCAAGACATGTACAATAAGAATCAATATATGGAATACTACCCCTACAAGTATTAACCCCATACTGTTAATAGAATAGAATATTTTTTTTTTTATAGTGGACCTTTAAAGCTGTTATTCCTTGTTTTATAAAATACAACCATGGCCAAAAGTTTTGAGAATGTCACATATATTTTCACAAAGTCTTCTGCTTCAGTGTTTTTTAAATCTTTTTGTCAGATGTTACTATGGTATACTGAAGTATAATTACAAGCATTTCATAAGTCTCAAAGGCTTTAATTGACATTTACATTAAGTTTATGCAGAGTAGATATTTGCAGTGTTGGCCCTTCTTTTTCAAGGACCTCTGCAATTCGCCCCAGCATGCTGTCAATCAACTCTGTGCCACATCATGACTGATGGCAGCCCATTCTTGCATAATAAATGTTTGGAGTTTGTCAGAATTTGTGGGGGGTTTTTTTTTTTCACCAGCCTCTGAAGGATTGACCACAAGTTCTCAATGGGATTAAGGTCTGGGGAGTTTCCTGGCCATGGACTCAAAATTTCGATGTTTTGTTCCCCAAGCCACTTAGTTATCACTTTTGCCTTATGACAAGGTGCTGGAAAAGGCATTGTTCATCACCAAACTATTCTTGGCTGATTGCTCTTGTACCATTCTTTATTCATGGCTATGTTCTTAGGCAAAATTGTGAGTGAGCCCACTCCCTTGGCTGAGAAGCAACCCTACACATGAATGGTCTCAGGTAGCTTTATTGTTGGCATGACAAGACTCATGGTAGCGCTCACCTTTTCTTCTCCAGACTAGGTTTTTTCCAGATGCCCCAAACAATCAGGGGATTCATCAGAGAAAATGACTTTACCCCAGTCCTCAGCAATCCAATCTCTGTACCTTTTGCAGAATATCAGTCTGTCCCTGAAGTTTTTTCCTGGAGAGAATTGGCTTCTTTGCTGCTCTTCTTGACACCAGGCCATCCTCCAAAGGTTTTGCAGATGCACTCACCCCTGCCAGCTGCCATTCCTGAGCAAGCTCTGCACAACTGAATCAACTTTAGGAGAGATGGTCCTGGTGCTTGCTGGACTTTCTTGGGCACCCTGAAGCTGTCTTCACAACAATTGAACCTTTCAACTTGAAGTTCATGATGATCTGATAAATGGTTGATTTAGGTGCAATCCTAATAGCCGCAATATCCTTGCCTCTGAACCCCTTTTTATGCAAAGCAATGATGGCTGCATGTGTTTCCTTGCAGGTAACCATGGTTAGCAGAGGGAGAACAATGATTTCAAGCACCACCCTTCTTTTAAAACTCCCAAAGTGATATTCTAACTCAGCATGACAGAATGATTGGCAGCCTTGTCCTTGTCAACACTGCACTTGTGTTAACGAGAGAATCACTGACATGTCATCGGCAAGTCCTTTTGTGTCAGGGCTGAAATGCAGTGGAAACGTTTTTGTTTGGGATTAATTTCATTATCGAGGCAAAGAGGGACTTTGCAATTGATTGCAATTCATCTGATCACTCTTCATAACATTCTAGAGTATATGCAAATTGCCACCATAAAAACTGTGTCGGCAGACTTTGTGAAAATTAATATTTGTGTCATTCTCAAAACGTTTGGCCAAGGCTGCACTTGGAGACCCTGCCTCTTTGCTCATTCAGGGCACAGTAATGAGATTTTTTTAAAGTCTATCCCAACGCAACTATACTCACATTGCTGCTGACCAAAATACCAGTTACCCAGATTCTGGGTAAAGTGGAGCATGTGACCTCCTATGATGCATTGATTCAGCCTGGTGGCCAGTAGTTAGGGACACTCTCATATAATTGTGACATCATTGCATGCACTGGGTATTTTGTGGTGGTTGTGACACTGGAAGGAGCTGGGTGGTATACAGTATGTGAAGGTGGTTAATAAGTGCTTGAAAAACACCCTGTCACTTTGCTCTAAATGGGCAAGGTGACAGTGTCTCTTTATTTTTAAGGATTATATACACTAACAGAACATTTAAAATTTTTTTTAATAAAGGATAACTGTACTTAACCTATCTTAAATGTGCAGTGTTGCAGTATGCAGCCAATATCATTTCAAACTGTAAGTAAAACAACATGAAATATATATTTTTAAAAAGATAGCATCAAAACAGTTTTGAGCACATGCAGATTTATTTACTCAGTTATGCAACTTACTATAAATATTGCTGTCAGTACTAAGTGGTTATATTCCAAACTAAAGCTAGACTAGATGATAAAGTATTTTTTCCATATAGAACTACAGACTTGATGAAAGGAAATTGAAAATGCTGTACATAGAATCCTGTAAAGTTCAACTGGCATGCTTTTAAAGTACACTGCTTTAGAAAATAAAAGAAAGCATCTGATTTGTTGATGAAATTGAACCCCACCTGCTTTAAACATCTCTCTTCCCCACTGTTAATACGCCAGATTAAAATAGAAATTCCCCCTTTAAATGGCCTCCACATTCCCTTATCTAGGGATTCAACTACCCAGAACAATTTCTCAAACTGTCAATTTCTCTCTCAATTTTTCACCTCTCCTTAAGAAAATCAGGCAAGATTTTTGTCTCGGGCAACTGTCCCCTTGCTAAGTAGGTATAATATTATTTAAAAAAAATGTCCTGCCACGACTCTTCCATATTGATCCCCAGTTGCATTTCAGGACTCTCCAGTCTGTTATCATCAACTTCATCTGAGCTAACAAATCACCCAGACTAAAACATACTGTCCTACAACATTCTAAAGCTGAATGGGGGATTATCCTTACCAGACGTCAAGGTACATTACATTGTCACCCGCCTAAGCAGAATCATAGACTGGTGTAGACATTTAGATCATCGTAGCACTGGATCATTCCAGAGTGTCATTCTACCTTAATGCCCACCTAGCCAAGTCTTTTTTTTTTTTTTTTTTTTTACAAAAAACACCTGATTCCTATCCCATCCCTTCATTGTTGCCCCCAATAGGAAATACCACTTTCTAGCCAGGCATTCACGATCCTCTGCTTATAACACTGCAAGAGGCAGGTATGTACAGAGTTCACCAATGCGGCAAAACTTACCTCCATGAAACCATGGAGGCAGAGGCAGCTTTTACATTTCTTATCAGATTTTTCAACAGTCATATCTAAGCACCTCCTGACCCCTTTCAAATGGGAATACTCTAAAGTTGGCCCAGACATACACACTCCCATCACACATTTACAAGCTTCTTTAACAGAAGGACCATACCATACCCACCCTGCCCCTTTTCTAGAATTCTCTGAAAACTATCTTAGTTTAACTCTCACCCCAACAGACAAATTATAGCTGTTATCTCTATCCTTTGAATTTTCTATCAGTAAGAAATAACAGGTGTCCAGATATAAGATGTGTCAGGAACCATGAACCAGACAGAGACAAAAGTGCAGTTAAAATCACACCTTTATTGAAATAGCAAATATAACATAGATCAGGAACGTAGTCAAACAGAAGCCAGGGCTTGGATACCAGATGTCAGGGATATCAGATGAGCCTGAGTAAGGAAACCAGAAGTCAGTGTAGTCAGGAACCAAAAATCATGAACAGGAATTGAAAGATAAGTCAGGCAGACTGAGTTGTAGGCAGGAACACCCTGGAGATCATAGACCATGCAAGGGCAAGGAGGAAATGAGCTAAGCTGCTAAAATAGCAGTAAGAGCTGAATGTAGCCTGGACTAATGAGGCAGGTAATGGTATCCAGGTGAGTCACTGTGGAGACAATGAGTAGCTGCTAATTAACTGACAGCAGAGCAGCTTCTGAGCACTGAAAGAAAAGAGCTATTGTTAAGCAGCAGAAGCCCAGCACTGACAAGATGCCACTTAACACGCCTCATCACTGCTGGAGATGCAGGAATTCTATTGGTGACATGTCCCTCATTTTCTGATCCTGCACAAAGCTTGACTGTTCGTGCAATCACTCAGAATTCATGGACCCAGTGCCCAAATCTCCTGGTTTCTTACCAGTGCACTACAATACCATACCACTCAGAAGCTACAAAAAGTGTCTTGATCCAAATACTGAATGCAGCACATGCATACATACCAGATCTTTGGAAACAGCCCACCCTGCCTGCAGTAAGGCAATGGTTCAACAGAATAAAAGATATTATGCCTGTGGAAGACCTCACCAGCTCCCTTAAGGAAACTACCATTAAATTCTGCAATACCTGGTTTTATTGGCTTGAATACCAAGCTACAGATGAATAGAAACCCTTTACTCAATTTGATTAAGCCCTTAACCTCCCCAGCCCCCTTTTTTCTCCTCACCCCTGGATCGGTCTAATGGGAAGGGCTTTTGGAGATCCTTCCAGCTTCTGTCTCCTAAAGTTTATGCTACGTTACATTCCCCTTATTTTCTCTTAACCTCACTTGCCTTCCCTTCTATTTATATTATAAAACTTACCACACCTCTTTAGGATTTGCTGCATAATGCTAAATTACATTGTTACATGTGTGCAGGGTTTACCTAACTGTAAACCTGTTACAGTATCGTCAAATGCATATTTTTATAACAAAGCTTATTTGTATGATAACTCTTTCTGGTGACAAATTAAATAATTTATTTTAAAAAATGGAGCCCCACCTAGTTGTATTTTATTAGCTCGGAATAGGAATTTATCCTCTACAAGGTGCTTAATGCTGTCTGTGTCAGCATTCAGGAGACTTGAGTGAGGGAAAATCTCACCAGTGGGGACCTAATTGCTGTTAGACATATAACTTTAGATCATGACTGCAAGTCTCAACAACCATGCTGCTAGATAAACGTAAATACAATTGACAATATTTTATATGATTGATGAATTTATTATATTGAAGGTTTTTTTTTTGTTTTTTTTACTGATTTTATAAACTGCTTGCCAACAGTATTATCAAGATCATAGGCAAATATCTCTCTCTCTCTCTCTCTCTCTCTCTCTCATTTTCAGATCTCCCTATGCATTTGAATGCTGCCATGTTTGAATCAAATGGCGGTTGTGGATATGTGGTAAAGCCACCTGTGCTATGGGATAAGGGATGTCCAATGTACCAGCTATTTTCCCCCTTGGACCGAGATTTAGAGAGCATGGAACCTGCAATATATTCCTTGTCTGTAAGAAAAAGAACAATTTTTTAAAGTTATATACAAAAGTATGTGAAAAGTATTTGACACCAGTATGCCACTGCTGAAATTGTTGCTATGCTCCTGTAGTACAACACATCTCTACCTAAAAAACTCCATATTCTAAACACTTCACACACAGCTTAGTCTACAGAAATCACTACTATAAACTACTTTAATGTATGAAGCTAATCCATACATTGCTTAGAATAAGAATATATGTAGGCAAGCAATGTCATTTGATTTTACACTGCATGAATCTATCAACCACCTTGCTAGCCAAAATTCTTTCTTTTAGTTTTTAATACTGTAGATAACAGAACCACAATTTTATTTTTATTGCTGTTTTTTGCCCTTGCTGTGTGATCACGGTCATGAGGCTAGAGAAGAAACACCCCCGAAAGGACATAGATAACAACATAATTCCTGCCCCTGTGAGGTTTGTGTCCATGTTGGGGCAGTGCTCTCTGCTCCCTGCATAGTCATTTGCACAGCACGTGAGAGGATATCTCCCCAAAGGGAATGTTGTCTGTGCTTTAAAAATATGTATGCATTTTATAATTCTATACTTATTCACCACTTAAATGAAGTGAATTTTTCCCAAACTAAATGGCTTTACATTAAAAGCCTTCATAGGCCTCAAAACCCATATTTTTTTCCATTGTTTTTCTTGGGAATGGAATAGGATCATATAAAAACAAAACCATGTTGTCTGGACAGAGATAAGCTTTTACTGAGCTTGAGACCTAGGGTTTGATTTCTTCCACTTAAAGTGTAAAAGTATAACTAAAGACAAAACAGTTTTTAAGTTTCAGTTAGAGTGGAGATGGATTAGAACATCTATCAGCTTTTTATCGTTGGTGTCCTGTTAACTATTAACACACAGAGTAAAAGAAAGTCCCCAAATTTGAGTTGTCACAAGAAAAGCAAAAGAATGGAAATCTTTCAATGTGGATACTAGTTCTGTTGACACTGATGATAAACAGGGATTTCATTATTTTTAAACCTGTTTTGGCTATGGGCCAGGAAGTGAAGGGAAATCTCCCAAATTGGACACCTATGGCAACAAAATACTGACATGGGTTATAACCCTCCCCTACTCTATCCACAATTCAGAAAAAAAAATCCACTTTAATAGGTCCTTTCATAAAGTGGAATAGTAAATTATATTTCTTTAAAGCAAAATCAAATTTTTAAATCAAATTATAATGAATTACATGGTAAGTATAAAATATGGATCTGTGACCAAGCTTCACAAATCATTGTAGAGAGACTTACTGTCTAAATGTGACTTACCTTCAGTGAACTTCAAATCTAAAAGTGTTCTTGTCTTTCAGATTGTCTCAGGACAAAATGTCTGTCCAAGCAACAGTACAGGAAGTCCTTGTATCGAGATTGATGTGCTTGGTATGCCTGTAGACAGTTGTCATTTTCGAACTAAACCCATCCATCGCAATACTTTAAACCCTATGTGGAATGAACAGTTTATGTTCCGTGTTTACTTTGAAGATCTTGTGTTTTTGCGATTTGCTATAGTTGAGAATAACAGCTCTGCTGTAACTGCCCAGAGAATTATTCCTCTTAAAGTCCTAAAAAGAGGTAATTTCTTTATTATGATCATTTATTTATAACACAGCTTTGCTTCTATACAAGAGAACTGACAGGAGGGGAAGTATCAATATTCTTACAAAATAATAAATTACAAGCAATTGAAGCTTCTTTTTTTATTGTGAGCAGTACCTACACCAAAGTTTGCCCTTCACATCTGACTACATGGTCCTTGTTGGAGACCAATTTTACTTCTGTTACAGATTATACAAAAAAGAAAACTGCATATGTGCTCAAAAGCAATACAAACTAAAGCTGTAAACACAGATGGGTGATATCAATCCCAAGTGAACCACATAATAATTATGTGTTGTGCTATAAATCAATTTTGTGAAACACAGATAATATAGAACATCACACTCCTGTAAAAAAATAATCCACTAAATCAAAACTGAATAAATAGATTTGCAGTGCAAAAAATAATTAAGTAGAAAAAAACCTCTCATAATGATGTTATAAAGATAATTCCAAAGGTCCCACAGGAGAAAAAAATCTATTGTGTGGAAAAGATTTTTTTGTCATCCAGGAAAAGTGCTCAGCAACTCCAACCATCACCAGAGATTGTCAACAGATATACACTTACCAAATGTGACTGACCCCCTAATCAAAGAGTGGTCATAAACAGGTCACTCCCTAATCATCTAATTGATTTATAGCACAACATGCCATTATTAATATATACGTCTGTTACAGGTCTGAAATGTCATGACATATATTCTGCTTCCAAGCAAGAAAAAGCTGATCCACAGATATGCTTTGCCTGGAGTTCTCATTTTAACCCAACATTATACCTGCCACCAGAATTCTCAAATTCACAAACAGTGTGTGAAAATTCTTTTACAGCCAAGAAATAATTGCTGTGTTTACTAAAGGATGTGCTAAGGTTGTTTTTTTATTTTATAATGATAATAGCCATAGAAGGCCAATCTTTATCCAGTCTCTATAATCAAAGATTAATGTGTGTTTTTTTTTTACTTGACTGGCTTGTAGAAACAGTCCACATCCTCTTTTATAGTAATTATTTTTGTAAATGTATTTTTGTCTTTACATTGCATGTGACTGAAGGATACAGACACTTGCAGCTTCGTAATCTACACAATGAGACATTGGAAATCTCTACTTTATTTATTAACAGCAGGAGAATGGAAGAAATTCCTACTGGAAGTGCTTTGCCTGCCTCATTGGTAAGTGATCCTGAATATTTACACAGGATAACTGAAATACACAGTTGTTAAGTAAAAAAATGTTTTCTTTGCCATGTTTTTGGTAAATATTAACTATTGAAGCTAAACTCAGTAAAAATTATAAATATAAAGTAGGTAAGAGAGCACATACTTGAATTGGTGTTTGGTTGTGATTTTAACATTAGTAATTTAGTTGCAAAAATATTATCTGAAATGGTAGTCAATCCTGTTTTCTGTGAGCTTTGGAGTTTTATATTGTAAATATAAAAAAAAAATATGTGTATATATATATATATATATATATATATATATATATATATATAAAAATAATATATATAATGCTACCCCTTATTCAGTACAGTGCTAAACCAACAATATTAAGGGGTACCCTTATATATATTATTTTTAAGAGTTTTTATATACAGCTGCTATTTTTTGTATAGCTTTTTCAAGCTGTAGTTTTCACTTTTAACCGTGGAGTGGGGATATATTTGGATAGATCAAATTAGCTTTAAGCCAACCTCCATCCATCATTTTGCACGATCACCATTCCTCATGGGTCTAAGATGATTTACTTACAGATTCATGCTCTTTCATCTGATTTACTAAGAGAGCAGGGGCAATGATACGGTTATTAAATCCCAAACTCCTGAATTGTCACAAAATTTAAAGTAAGCTTTTTGCAAACTTAGGTAATCAAACTTAATATATGTTTAAAGTGCAAAAGTAAAAGATACATTCAGTGGTTGCTTAAGTAGATTTGGTTCATATATCTTTTCGAAAAAGTGAGTCAAAAATATTTGGTGATTTTTGCTGCGTATAGAAAATGTTGCATGGAGTAGAGATAACACACTGGGAACATGGTGTGGTGGTGACACCTGAAAAAGGGTGCTGTGGGGAAATTGGAAGGAAGACGGTTGATTTAAAGGCACAGAGCACATTGTTTAAATAAGAGGAAACTTTTAATATACAAAAGTGAACTGTAGAAACACTGGAAGGAGAATATTTTGTTTAAAGGCACATAGCACTTTATTGCACAAGTGGACACTTTAATAGTTTTGGAGAAAAGGACACTGAGCACTTTGATTTAGAAACGGTTTATTATGCACTTTTGAAGCACTAGGCACTTTAGATTGTGGTTAAGATTTATTTATTTATTAGTTTAATTTGAGCTTTATGAAATGTACACAGGTTTGCACTATTTATTATAAATTTTTGCTGATAGATTATTTATTATAGCTCTACATATATCAGGTATATATGTGATAGGTGATCTGTTCCTGCGTCTTGTTGTCTGAAATGTTCATGTAGATTCAGTATATTTCCTTTGGCTTTAGTCTACCTAGGTATCAAAAGGAAGTTCTTGTATATTAAATCTAAAAACAACTGAATGTTCCTCAGATACCTAGACTTAAAGCGGAGGTAAACCACAGCCATATATATATATATATATATATATATATATATATATATATATATATATATATAAAATCCCCTGCAAGGTAATGTCATAATGTGCTAGTATGCATCGCATACTAGCACATTATGAAGAGCTCACCCTAAAATGAAGCCCTCTTGTGGCGTGCTGTCACCACTGCAGAGGCTTCCATCTTCACCCTTCCTTCTGGGTTCGCAAGCTCCAGCCATGGTGCAGTGCTCTCAAGGAACGGCACAGGTAAGGATCAAAAAGAGAAAATATCTCCTAAACGGTGCACATTTAGGAGATATTAATTTTATCTACAGGTAAGCTTTACTGTAAGCCTACCTGTAAGTAAAAGTGTAAAAAAAAAAAAAAACGTTTACTATCACTTTAACCACCTCCCGCCCGCCATATAGTAATATGACGGGTGCAAGGTGGTTCTCTTGTTCTGGGAGGATGTCATAAGACATCCTCCCATTCTCACCGCGCATGCGTGGCTCAGGGAGCGTGCAGCGTGGCGATTGGCGGTGCACTGTGTCCCTCGGACACAGCAGATCACCGGTCATGGAAAGAGCCGAAGATGTCGGCTCGGTCATGTGATCAGCTGTGTCCAATCACAGCTGATCACATGTAAACAGGGAAATGCCGGTTATCTGCATTTCTCTCCTCTCGAGCTGTCACGCTGACAGCTCGAGAGGAGAGGAGAGCAGAGCCGGTAATTGGCTTTCCGCGGAGGGGACATGTACACTGATCATCAGGGCAGGGCGCCCTGACGATCAGTGTAGCCCCAGCAGTGCCACCTGTCAGTGTCCATCAGTGCCTTGTGTCAGTGCTCATCAGTGTCAGTGCCACGTCAATGCCACATATCAGTGCCTACCAGTGCACATCAATATGCCACATATCAGTGCCCATCTGAGCTGCCTTTCAGTGTCACCCATCAGTGCCAGTCAGTGCCGCCTATCAGTGCCAGCCAGTGCTGCCTAACAGTTTCAGTCAGTGCCACATATCAGTGCCATGTATCAGTGATGCCCATGTGATGCCTGTCAATGCCCATCAGTGCCACCTACCAGTGCCCATCAGTGCAGCCTATCAGTGCCCATCACTGCAGCCTCATTAGCGCACATCAGTGAGGGAGAAAAATCACTTATTTACAAAATGTTTAACAAAAACTAAGAAAAAACGTTTTTTTTTCAAAATTTTCAGTGGTTTTTGGTTTGTTTAAGAAAAAATAAAAAATCCAGAGGTGATTAAATACCACCAAAATAAAGCTCTATCTGTCACAAAAAAATGATAAAAATGTCATATGGGTACAGTGTTGCATGACCGCGCAATCCGCAATTGTCACTCAAAGTGAGACAGCACTGAAAGCTGGAAATTGGCCTGGGCAGGAAGGCGGTATAAGTGCCCTGTAGGCTTGTGGTTAAAGCCAAAGTTCAACCAAAATAAAAAAACACAAACAATCAGCACAAAGGACATAACTTACAGTCAGTATAATGTGTCCCATGTGTCGATGCCTCTTCTGTCAGGTGAAATCCTTCTCTGTCCTTGCCCTCCCACCACTGCTACCACAATCTTCTGGTGTGGTGGGGGTTAATAGAACTGTGGAAGCTGTCACAGGCTCTCATCAAGAATTCTCAAACTATGCCTTCCCTTTCCTCTCATTCATAGAAGCTGTACTACAACTTCTATGAATGAAACAGGATCTATGAATGTAGGCAGTGGACCTTTTAATCATCCACCCAGTCTCCATTCATAGTCACTGTAGTATGGCTTCTGTGAATGGCAGAACTTGGTGGAAAGGGCAGACATAGTTGGGTACTCTTGATGAGAGCCTGTCACAGCTCCCACAGCTGTAATAACCCCTGCTGCCAGGACCGTCTTTAACTTGGAAAAAGGGGCAGCTGCCCGGGGCCCAGTCATTGTTGTGGAGCCTGAAGCAGCTGCCTCTCCAGCCTCTTGTCTTGGAGGGTCCCGGTCCTGGTGGTGGCTGGAGTAGGTGGAAGGCAAGCATTGAGGGCAGCTAGGATTAAGAGCTTGGGATGTAGAAGACCTCCACCACCTCCCTGACCCCCGGAGAGCAGCAGAGGATGCAGCATCCCTGGAGGTGGCACCTCCCAGAGCACGGACTCCTCCAACCTCCCGGCTCTAACAACAACAGCAAAGGGCCGCTTTGAGGACAGGCGCACACAGCCAGAAAACCGCAAAGTAGAGGAAGGAGCAGATCAGCCAGAATGAGAACGAACCCTGCCTGCTGCTG